TAACATTGGATGACATTATGAATACAGAAATTATATAGGAAGACAAAGAAGAGAGAAAAAAAATAATAATAAAAAATAAACAAGAATACATAGATAAAACAAAAAATACAGAGGTAGTAAATCAAGAATTATGTACCATTCAGCAGATCATTATACAGTTTCACAAATTTGACACTTTTTTTGGTATTAATATTTTTTAGTGTTATAATTAAGTAGTTAAAGTCACAAAGAAAATGATGTAATTTTGGAGATGTTGAAGAAAATTTACATTTATGAATATAATATTTTCCCAATAAAAGAAATACATTTCCTATATATTCTATGTTATGTTTACAATGAGAAAAATAACAAAATATATCACACATAGTAACATCAATGTCTACATTAGATTTTGAAGGAAATAATTTTGACACGTCAGACCAAAATTCCTTAACAAGAATTCTTGTACTGATATAAACGCTTCTGATTGGCTGGATCTGTCGTCATGGCTCCGTCATTCACGGAAAGCTCCAGAGCCATCTAGAACTCCCGAACTCTCGCGATAAAACCGTTGACTTCGGCGTGAACTCCAGCTTTTACCCGTTGCTTGTAGCAGAGTAAGCCGGTCTGCAGCTTCGACTTTAGTCAATGGACAACCGAGAGCTATGAAATCGCGTTAAACACGACTTTTGGGAATAACAAGCTCAACCGCGCTTCTCCGTGACTAAGGACACGTCTTGCTAGTATTCAGTATTTTAGCCGGACTGTATTTGTGAAGATGTCAGTGGTGGGATTTGATGTGGGCTTCCAGAGCTGTTATGTTGCTGTGGCTCGCGCCGGAGGAATAGAGACCGTAGCGAACGAATACAGCGACCGATGTACACCGTAAGTCCAATAACGTTACTTTCATTCTGCTTTAGAGACTGCATGTATTGTACAATCGACCTGTCACAATGGTTAGCTGCACGCTACAGCGTGGCTCGCGCTGCTATGACGTCACGCCGGCGGCCGCAGGAACATTCTAGCACATTTTAATAAGACCGCTCGGAAACCCGACACCATTATTATACATTTCTTCTTATTGTCGTTCAAGTATATCATTTAAGCATTTACATGACTTTTAACGTGTTACTTAAAATATTAACTGATGTTAAATGATAGTTTCTGATGGCTTGAGATAATAGGAATTAGTGCTGGCAGACGATTAATCGCATCCAAAATAACCGTTTTTGTTTACATTATATATGTATATGTAGTGTGTATATTAATCATGTATATATAAATGCACACACATACAGTATATATTTTGAAAATATTTACATTTATATATTAATATTCTTATATTTTATATTATATATAAATATGTTGAATATATAAACATAACATATTTTTCTTAAATATGTACATGCATTTGTTTGTATTTATATATACATCATAAATATACACAGTATACACACACATAATATGTAAACAAAATTTTTTATTTTGGTTGCGATTAATCGTTTGACAGCACTCATAGGAATTAATGGAAAGCTGATAGATAGATAAGTCAGTGTAATTTACGTTAGATTACTACATTTTACCTTTCCTGCTGCAAATAAGTCAACAAAACCGAACAGAACTTCTGTTTATCAGTCAAACTGACAAGGTTATGAATCTCAAAAAAACACAAATCTCAGGCATTTCATTAACTTGATTTTAATAGTTATAAAATGGCTTTTGGAATTGGGGTGTCTTCACTTCAAAGAGAAAATCTTAGTAATAGTGATGTTGTATTTATTAGAGGATGCTTCAGGTTATTACTTTATTCAAATGCTTTTAAAAATGTGCTTGCTTTAAAATGATGATATACCAGTCTAAAGAAAGAGTATGAATGAATGAAAGAAATTTATTTCGAACAGTTAAAAAAAGAATGAAAAAAAAACAAAATAAAATATACAAATTAATACAAAATAAGCAATACAAAACCAACGAAAAAATTATTTTGACATCATACTCAACCCGTTCGAAAAGGTATAGGTAGAAGCCATAGGCTAGTACTAGTTAAAGGGATAGTTCACTCAAAAATTAAAAATATTTTGAATATGTGCTCACATGAGTTTGTTTCTCCACGGGAACAGGTTTGGAGAAATGTAGCATTGCATCACTTGCTCACCAATGGATCCTCTGCAGTGAATGGGTGCCGTCAGAATGAGAGTCCAAACAGCTGATTTAAAAAGTCACACAAATCCACACGACTTCAGTCCATCAGTTAATGTCTTGAGAAGCGAACATCTGCATGTTGTTAATAAACAAATTAATCATTAAGACACGTTTAACGTCAACATAAAAGTCCATAATCCATAAAATTGCTTCCTGGAGTGAAAAAATGGTCTTGTCTGAGTCAGGAGAGAAATATGCACAGATTAAGCACCGTTTGCAAGCAAAAACAGTTCTAAGCAAATATGTGGCTGGGTTTTACAGGACAACAGGAGATGGACGTTTTCAATGGATGAAGTGTTTTTATGGATTATGGACTTTTGGTGCAACGTTTTGAAGTTAAACCGCCTAAATGATGGATTTGTTTCTTACAAACATGCAGTTTTTTTTACTACACAATACATTAACTGATGGACTGGAGTGGTGTGGAATACTTGTGAAGTTTTTATCAGCTGTTTGGACTCTTATTCTGACGGCACCCATTCACTGCAGAGCATCCATTGGTGAACAAGTAATGAAATGCTTAATTTCTCTCAAATCTGATGAAGGAACAAACTCATCTACATCTTGGATGGCCTGAGAGTGTGTAGACTTTCAGCAATTTTTAATTTTGTGGTGAGCTGTTCTTTTAAGGAGCATGAAGTTAAAGTTTCAAGAATAATGATTTATTAAGATCATTTTGTATTGATGATGTGTCCTTTTTAGGTCATTTGTGTCATTCGGTCCTCGTAATCGATCGATAGGGGCAGCCGCCAAAAACCAGGTAAATGTTTATTTATTTGAAATAAGTGAGAAAGCGCATTGCATGGATGGGGAGAAGTTGTAATGGTAATTTCTTTTCTCACAACAAGGTGGTCACAAACTGCAAGAACACTGTGCAGGGTTTTAAGCGATTCCATGGCAGGGCGTTCAGCGACCCGTATGTTCAGGCGGAAAAGTCCAGCCTGGTCTTTGATCTCGCTCAGATGCCAACTGGAACCACTGGTATTAAGGTAAGACTAATTAAACAGCAGTGATCGGGACAAATAGTCACGCACTTTGAATTGTGTACGAAATGTGCTATATAAATAAACTTGCCTTGCCTATGTTGTAACAGCTGCTCTGTTCACTTGTGGCTATTTCACAGTGCTTTATGCTGTCGGTCTCCACAGGTCATGTATATGGAGGAGGAGAAGGTGTTCAGCATTGAGCAGGTCACTGCCATGCTGCTGACCAAACTGAAGGAGACCGCTGAAGCTGCGCTCAAAAAACCTGTGGCAGACTGCGTCATCTCTGTACGCCTGTTCTCTATAAGTACACTTGAAATATTCACTAGAACTGCATAATCCGTCTGTAAAATGCAAAGAGCAGTGTGGTCATCTTCAGAAGGAGCTGTGATATATGAGGCCGTCAATAACGTCATCATATATTATATGCATGATTGCACTTGGGAAAAGGCAGATTTTTTTCCCGAATACCAAAAGTAATCGTATGGTAAACTGGGTTTACTAGGGACTATTGGCAGATTTGGAAAATTCTTGATTGTTTTATTGTCAGAAATGTAAACTTTATGCCCATATATTAAAAGTAAGATATATAGTATATAATACTATTGTACTGCGTGCATGCAGTACACTTTTGTGAAGCAATGCGTGTGTACATATAAATAGATAGATAGATAGATATAGATACACACAAATGCATATATATATATATATGTCTCAAAAATGTAACTTAAAATAGGATATATGAATATGTCTGTGTGAACTTTACGTCCATACATAAAGTATACTCACATAAGATGATATATACTAGCAAATCTCAATGCTTGATTGCTGGTAACTTTAATCTGCTAAATGTGACTATTAGGTGTGAAGATATTAAGATACTATATATAATAACATTATGATTATATATAAAGGTGCTTTGAATACATTTGACTTAATTTATGACAAATGTCACTACCTTCACCTCACATCAGCGTTTTTTTTATTTGATTTTGAGTTGAGCATTTCTTCCTTTTTTTGACTCTTGCTGTTTGTTCTTCTCTATCGTTAGTCCCAGTAACATCACTGATGTTATTTTTAGAATATTGCATTATTATTCATGTCTCTAGTGTTTAGCTGTTGTAGTTACTGTGTAATGAATGTGAGTAGTTATTGTTTTTTGGTGTTCTCATGCTCTTGCATAGGTTCCCAGCTTCTTTACTGATGCCGAGAGAAGATCAGTCATGGATGCTGCACAGATCGCAGGCCTTAACTGCCTCAGACTCATGAATGACACTACAGCAGGTAAAATACTTCAGATGGATTTACTTCACCCAAAAATGAAACTTCTGTCACTGTTTATGCCAGACCTTTCATGTCATATTCTCACTTTCATGTCATGCCAGACCTCTGTTAGTTCTATGGAACACAAAGAAAAGAGGTGCTGAATATTTGAGCTTTTCCTTTTCCAACAAAACAGATATGGATTGTACAGCGTTGGGCCCCCAAAACATTCAAAATACAAGCAAATAAAACCGTTTCCATATGACTCTACGTCTAGTCGTCTACCTTTAGTTTGAAGAGTTTAATGTGTTCACGTGTTTACTGTAATTGTAGTTGCACTGGCGTATGGGATCTACAAACAGGACCTGCCTGCTCCTGAGGAGAAGCCCAGGATTGTGGTGTTCGTGGATGTTGGTCACGCTGGTTACCAGGTCTCTGTGTGTGCCTTTAACAAGGGCAAGTTGAAGGTGAGGCTTTTCTCTCCACATACTTTATTATGCACATTATTGTGCCATTTCTTAACTGTCAAAACATTAATATTCAGGGCAGGGTTAGGTTATTATTGTTAACTAAATCTAAAACTGTTACAACAACATGTTTGGTAATTTAAATAAACCTACAATAAAATAAAATATATTAGATGAGAAACGTGTTTCAGTTAGTTGCCTAAACTGATTTTATTTATTTATTTTAATTAATTAATTAATTAATTTGAAGCACTAAAATTAGTAACTGGGGGGTAAACCCCCCCAAAGATAAACAGAAACTAAAACTGAAATTAATTAAACCTAAATAGTAATATTTAAATAAACAAAAGCTAAAAAAATGACAAAAGCACATAACAAAATTACAAAAATTGTACTAACATTAAAATAAAAACTAAGTATATAAATAAAACTTTAAAACGTATATATATGATACTAAAATAATGTGAATTTAGATATTACATATATGATTACATATACATAGATTACATATACGTGTGTGTGTGTGTTTAAATATTGAACTACACAGGCATCTCGACTGTATTATGTACTTTCTAAACACTATTAATTGAAAATAATATATTTTTTCTAATGTTTGTATTTTTATGTAGACACAAATGCTGCTTATTTTACTTTTTTTTTTTTTTGTCTAGCATAATTAAATAATTAATATATTTGAGACAAAATTTAGTTCCATTCATTTTATGAGGGAAAAACAAAAAGTCACATTTATTGTCTTCAGTCTGTTTTGACCGCGAAGGATCATGAGTGAACTAAATTAGGAAAACCCAAGGGTTAAACCACTGATTTTGTAACAAATTCAACAATAAATTTCATAAACAATTATGAAACAATTGGACTCCAGATTGTTGGCCGCTAGCTATGTTTCCATCCAAAAATGTGAATTTATGCGCAAAACTGGAACATCGCATAAAACATTTGCGAATAAAGCACCGTTTCCAACAAAATCGTCGCTTCCTGATAAACTAGCACTAATTATCACAAAAAAAGTAGAAAAGGCCACTGAATATAATAATTTTCATATATGATGAATTGCTTGCGCCTCAGAGCAAGCAGATGAAACAATAAACGCTGTCATTGCTTTCGGAGGTGGATGCTGCTGTTTGGGAACGCAGTCGTGAGACAATTATACAGAAATAGGCCTACTTTGACGAGACTTTGCTCAGGCATCGCAGAAAAACTAGGGCTGCACGATAAATCGCATGCGATATTTAACGCGCATCTTATCAGTAAAGCCGGTTCTGTAATCAGCGGTAAATCTCCATCACCTGCGGGCTTTCAGTGATGGAGATTTACCGCTGATTACAGAACCTGCTTTACTGATAAGATGCGCATTAAATATCGCATGCGATTTATCGTGCAGCCCTAAGAAAAACCAAAACAACATTTCAGATGCTGTGCAACGAGATCGGTCCGTGGGTTACTCAAGTTATCCTGCCCAAGTGTGCAGTGTCACATTACTTTTTTTTTAATGTGCATGGTGGAATTTATTCGGTAAATGTGATTCCATCATAGTTTATGCTTTTTGTTTGTTGTTTTTTTTTAGTCACTCAGACGCAGGCAGTGCGCTGCATGAGACAAAAAAGTAATATAGCCAAAACGATTATAAATGAGAGTGACTCCTGGTTAACATGTATTAAAAGGGGTCGTGTTTAGTCACTATTTAGTGTGGTATTTTTTGACAATATTCACTCATCATGACAGTAAAATAGGGCATTCTAAGTCAATATATTGCAGTATTTCCTCTCAATCAGTAGAAAATATGGTTAACACCCGGTCATGCATGAAAAAAAAATACCGTCTTGTTCCGTGAAACCGGTATAATTTTGAAAAATACCGTGATATAAATTTTTGGTCATACCGCCCAGCACTAGTTTATGCGCATTTTCTCTTATCGGATAAAAAGTTTAACCTACTCAGTTGTGTGCATTTTTTTTATGCGCATTTTCAGAATTTATGCTCATCTTGGCGTTTTTTTAATGCAATATTTCAAAATGCACATACAAATAGGTGGATGGTAACATAGCTACTGTAGACATGCGTGTCTTTTGTCCAGTGCCATGAGTTTTCTTTTTTTAAGATGAGCTGTCGTCAAAACCGTTTAAGCTTAAAGGGATAGTTCACCCCAAAATGAAAATTCAGTCATTAATTACTCACCCTCATGTCGTTCCAAACCCGTAAGACCTTCGTTCATATTCGGAACACAAATTAAGATATTTTTGATAAATTCTGAGAGCTCCATGACCCTCCCATAGACAGCAAGGATCCTAACACGATCAAGGTCCAGAAACGTAGCAAGGAAATCGTTAAAATAATCCATGTGGCATCAGCGGTTCAACCGTTATTTTACGACGCTACGAGAATACTTTTTGTGCGCAAAGAAAACAAAAATAACGACTTTATTCAACAATTCGTCTCCTCCGCATCACCCTATAGCGCCATTTTGGAGCGTATCACATACGTAAACAACATATGTTCGCGGATACGCTGTTTACGTTCAGAGCAAAGTGTAAACAATGTAAACGGGAGACGTATTGTTGAATAAAGTCATTATTTTTGTTTTCTTTGTGCACAAAAAGTATTCTCGTAGCTTCGTAAAATTATGGTTGAACCGCTGATGTCACATGGATTATTTTAACGATCTCCTTGCTACGTTTCTGGACCTTGATCGTGTTAGGATCCTTGCTGTCTATGGGAGGGTCAGAGAGCTCTCAGAATTCATCAAAAATATCTTAATTTGTGTTCTGAAGATGAACAGAGGTCTTACGGGTTTGGAACGACATGAGGGTGAGTAATTAATGACTGAATTTTCATTTTGGGGTGAACTATCCATTTAAGAAACCGTTTTTAAAATGCATAGTTTTGTACATGTGTCTATTTGGTAGCAACAGTTTGTCCCTCAATGCTTTTGTTGACTGATTAATGCAGGTTCTGGGTTCTGCGTTTGACCCTGAGCTGGGCGGTAAAGACTTCGATGAGGTGCTGGTCAAGTACTTCTGTGAGGAGTTTGCGCAGAAGTACAAGCTGGACGTGCGATCGAAGCCCCGCGCTCTGGTGCGGCTCTACCAGGAGTGCGAGAAACTGAAGAAACTCATGAGCGCCAACTCCTCAGACTTGCCGCTCAACATTGAATGCTTCATGAATGACATCGACGTCTCAGGCACGCTCAACAGGTCAGTAACCGCATGCCAACAGCTAAACTGGGTGCTCGATGTCAACGGTGTAAATTAGGCACTGAGCTGTGACGGGGAAATGTTATGATGTCAGCGGGTTAATTCGTTAAAATACCACGTCTAATAATATCTTCATGACTCTCTTGTTCCAGAGCCAAGTTTGAGGAGTTCTGTGCAGAGCTGCTGACTAAGGTGGAGGCTCCGCTGCGCAGCATCATGGAACAGACCAGTGAGTGCAAGCGCTTTTGCTTTTAGCAGCGTGTCTTTCCCGTCAAGCAGTGATGCAACAGTAGTGGTGTTTTTCCCCCTCCTATAACCAGGACTGAAGAAAGACGACATCTATGCAGTGGAGATCATAGGCGGCGCCTCCAGGATTACAGCCATTAAAGAGAGAATCAGCAAATTCTTCGGAAAGGAGCTGAGCACGACGTTGAACGCGGATGAGGCTGTGGCCAGAGGATGTGCACTGCAGGTTAGTTCTTGGACATGAACTTTTTAATGGCAAATGCCAATATCTTAGAGAACAGGGTGGCCCATGGCTGATATAAAGTCGATATATACTGTATCACACTATTTAAAGGAGTCATATGACGCGATTTCATATTTTCCTTTGTCTTTGGAGTGTTACAAGCTGTCTGTGCATAAATGTGACCCTGGACCACAACACCAGTCATAAGGGTCAGTTTTTTTTATTTGTTCAGTATTCATCTGAATACTGAATAAATAAGCTTTTCATTGATGTATGGTTTGTTAGGATAGGACAATATTTGGCCGAGATACAACTATTTGAAAATCTGGAATCTGAGGGTGCAAAAAAATCTAAATATTGAGAAAATCATCTTTAAAGTTGTCCAAATGAAGTTCTTAGCGATGCATATTACTAATCAAAAATGAAGTGTTGATATATTTATGGTAGGAAATTACAAAATATCTTCATGGAACATGATCTTTACTTAATATCCTAATGATTTTTGGCATAAAAGAAAAAAATCGATCATACATACAATGTATTGTTTGCTATTGCTACAAATATACCTGTGCTACTTGTGACTGCTTTTGTGCTCCAGGGTCACATATGAGATCCATAAAGTCGCAAAGACTAAAGTCTCAAACCCAAAGAGATATTCTTTCTAAAAGTTAAGACTCGCCCACGCCTTCCTAAAATGCCTCATTCAAACACGCCCCCCACACATCTACTTCACTGTGTGGGAAGATTTGCATAACACCGCCCAAATGTTTATGCAAAGAAAGAAGGCGTAACTTTTATTCTCGCTGTAGTATTGTTGCCGCTACTGCCATGTCGTGGAAACGCTGTGTTTCTCCAAATATTGCAAGAGGCGTAACATTTCCGCCACATGCTTGAGGTATTCGGCCAATCACAACGCACTGGATAGCTGGCCAATCAGAGCACACCTCGCTTTTCAGAATGATGAGCTTTGTAAAAATCAACGTGATTCAGAAAGGCGGGGCATAGAGGAGAAACAATAATGCACAGTATGTGGAAAATAATGTTTATTGGACCTTAAACTGCATAAACGCATTGCATTACACCAAATACACCAAATAATGTTCTTTTTAGCAACATCATATGACCCCTTTAATTTAAAGATAGTAATGTATAGCAATTGAATTGAATATTTTACTATATTATATAATTTGAATTCTTGCCAAATAAAATCAGTCATAATAAATAAATGTTGTTTCTTTGTTTGTTTTTTTTTTATTTTTATTTATTGCTCCTTAAATTCCAAATAGTTTATGAATGTTTTTTTTTAATTTAAAAATACCTATTATGTTATTTCATGATAAAGTAACTTATTTTAATGGAAACATATTTTCCCTGTTAATTATGTGACGGAATCCAGAAAAATCAAAATAAAAAAACTGAATTTTGATAAAAAAAATAAAACTGATTTCATAGGGCCCTAATCATCTAACCAAGTGTGTGATTCTGTAACCACAGAATTGTGATAATGACTTCCTGTGATAATTTGTGCCACCAGTTTTTTCATATTGCTTTGCATACAGAGCTCATTTTTCGGCTGCTTCTCATAATAACAGCCTACAGTGTTTCTTAGTGTTGTAAACAAGTCTTTATTGTTCCTCAGTGTGCAATCCTGTCGCCCGCCTTCAAAGTGCGTGAGTTCTCCATCACAGAAGTGGTTCCCTACCCCATCTCTCTGAAGTGGACCTCAGCGGCTGACGAAGGCATCAGGTGCGTTCTTGGTTCTCTGTGTGTCATGATTAACTCTCTTAGTTCACTCTTTCAGTAGTCACATTATGTCTTGCTCTGCAGTGATTGTGAAGTTTTCCCGAAGAACCATGCTGCACCCTTCTCTAAAGTGTTGACTTTCTACCGGAGGGAGCCTTTCTCTTTGGAGGCCTACTACAACAATCCCAAAGAGCTGCCGTATCCTGATCCTACCATGGGTATGTTGGGAATGCTTCTTTGCTTTGCTTAATTGGAATTTAGCACAGTACTACTTCATTAAGTATTAGTCTACACATGTCCACAAACAAACAAATAATATTCAGAGTCTGAATGTTTTACTCTAATAAAGTGTGAAAACAAACAAATGGATTGCATTTTATTTTACAGCATGTGCACTTACATGCGTAACAGGACTGTGGTATAGAGTGCTACACACAGATGGGATGTGCATTTTATTGTGGTCTGGCTTAAAGTTACACCGAACTTCATTCACATGACAGCTCTGCTCTTATAAATCAAATTTGACGTGAATTGTTAGTGTACTTTAAAAAAAAATGTATGTGTGTCTATATATGTATATGTTATATGTGTGTGTGTGTGTGTGTGTATGTATGTGTGTGTGTGTGTGTATATATATATATGTATGTATATGTACATGTATCACTGACATCCGCGTCACACATATATTTATACTTTTTTTTTTTCTTTTGTTTAATGACTTTCTATTAAAGCAACAAAAAGTTTGCAGAAGTGCATTGATTCAGCAACCACAGTCACGAACAATATAGTTGAGATTCATGTTTGGATTTAATACGGTTTATCACTGAGAAGGTTTGATCACAGATTTAGTCTCAGCAAACAGCACCCTGTGAACAAATCACAGTAGAGATCGCTAAACTCCATATATATATATATATATATATATATTTCCTCCATAACATACTTGTTTGTCACTATTTTCAGCATGGTTGCCAGGTTGGGAAGATTTAGTAAAACGCTGGGCAGAAAAAGTATCCTTCTAAGAGACTGGATACATTTTTGAGGGTTTGATCTTTTGACATCTGGCAACCTCAAGCAAGAAAGCTTGTAGAGGCTCAATACCAATGCAAGATAATGGAAATGTCTAATGAAAATTAAACCAGCGAGCCAGTTTCACAGGCGAATATGCTTAATCGAGAAAAGCAGAAATCATGATTATGATTAATTGTGCAACCCTTTTGACTATTTTTGCCTGTCCGCAGGCCAGTTTAACATCCAGAAGGTGGTGCCTCAGCCATCCGGCGAGAGCTCCAAGGTGAAGGTGAAGGTGCGTGTGAATGTGCACGGGGTCTTCAGTGTGTCCAGCGCCTCCCTGGTGGAGGTTGTGAAGTCTGCAGAGGGAGAGGAACCCATGGAGACAGACACTCCAGCCAAAGAGGATGAGGTAAAGTCACCCCTAATGGTTTTGTCTATCCCATGACACCAGGGGATCCATTGGGCACAGAGCAGTTGGTTTAAGAAAAAAAAAAAAATCTTTTATGAAGCATTAGCTCTAAAAACTAGATTTTACTTGTTTTGTGAGCATTATTATACATTTTAATGTGGAAGTGAATCCCTTTACTGTCGTTCTGTGTGTGTACAGAATACAGGAGTCACTTCTGACATGAATACTGAATAGTGAAAGTTTATATGGAAGCTTATTTTTGCTACAGAATAAAAATATATCAGAAACGGTGATTGCAAATTTCTCTCACAATTTAGATTTCTTTCCTCAAAATTGCAAATTTATATCTTGCAGTTGCAAATTCTAAACTCACAATTCTGACTTTCAGAAGTGTGATGGGGAAAAAGGCCAGAATTGTGAGCCTAAAAAGTCGCTATTGCCGTTTTTATTTGCTTTTTATTCTGTGGTGGAAATAAGCTTCCATACATTTACACTTGTGAGATGCAAAAACAAATGTTTACAAAACCATTCAAAATGATTGAGAGTTTGGGTTAGTAGGAGCTACTTTTTGTTCCGTACACATGCTAAACGATAAGTTTTGAGTTTGTGACCATAGTCATTTACAAGACCCTGTGAACATTGATTATATTTGCTCCTTCAAGAACAAGATGCAAGTGGATCAAGAAGTACAGAAGGCTCAAGGTGATGATCAGAAAGAACATGCAGACAAGAAGTCGGACACTGAAGACATGGAGGTGTGTGAATACACTTGCACACCAACACCAGATATACAACATTTCAACAAAATACAAATGTATTTAAAAGTGTGCATTTCCAATTGCAGCCTGCTTGTTGTGCATCTAAAAATAGCCAAGGTTCTTTCCTATTGACAGACTGATGCTTTTATTATTTTTATTTTATTGTCATATGAAATATCAAAACAATGTAAAAGAAACGGAGAAAGGAAAAAAAGGACATAAAATCAAAAATGCAATTTTTAAAAAGCATTTTACAGCGTATATGTGCCCTCACATGAATATTATACCGTGCTTATGTTATAGAAAACCTGAATTTTGTATTGGCAACCCAACACGGTACCAAAAGTGAACTGCATAGGTCCAAAATATACAGTGTAAGAAAAGTCATGCGATTGATTAGACAGACATATAGTGCACTGGATTACTGCATCACTTCACCTGTTTAATGGTAAAACATAGTTGGATTGTACACAATTTGACATCAATAACAAAGATATGGGAGCATTTTATCCCCTTGAAACCCACCACTGCTCTACAATACCTAATGTTTGCAATGGAAAATGGGAAATTCACTGTGACTATAATGACTTTTAGGCTTCAGAAGACAACAAACAGGAGGAGAAGAAGAATGAACCTCCACAAGCCAAGAAAGCCAAAGTGAAGACAAAGACGGTGGATCTGCCCATCGAGAACAGCCTGCACTGGCAGCTGGCCAGTGAAACGCTCAATCTGTTCGTGGAGAATGAGGTACATCACAGTGTGCAAAGCACTTAAACTACACCACAGCGATCGGTTTCTCTGGTTAGTGTTCTGTAGGAGAAGCTAGAGTTGCACGATTCTGGATCAATTGAGAATCACAATTTTTTTGGTTTCAAACAGAGATCACGATTCTCCCAGGTTTCTGAACTAAACAAAATAATGTGCAATTTACTTCGAAAAAATTGGTTTGAATGAATGATTCATTCAAATACTTCACTTGTTTCATTACTGGATGAATCAGCCTTTTGAACAAATCTCTAGAATAAATGATTCAATCACAAATAATTTTTTTTGACAGCCAGTTGTCGCCATCTAGTAGCGAAACAATGTAATCAACACAAACGTTATATGAAGCCCCAAATACTTTCAAAAGGTGATTTGCTCTATTTTGATGGCTACAACAGACATCAGTGTTTATATGCAAACTATAAACCTTTATCCCAGTAATTCTGTGATTATTTGAATGATTGAGACAGAAATAATACTGTGTGGTTGAAAAGGCTGTTTTTTGATTTGAATGATCCGGCATGACTTTGTCAAAGCTTTAATAGACACAGGCGAATTGTCATTTAGAATATATTTCTTGTTTTCCATTTTTCGATATCAGCATCATACAGTGCATTGAACACTACATTACACCGCAGTTTCCCAAACTGGGCTTAATGTAAGAACTGCAGTGAGTTTATAAATAAAACAACTAACAATTAATTCAATCATAAAAATGTAAAATTCAAATAATTTGAACACTGATAAAAGATGCAGGTGCCTTTTTTAGAACTGGTTTCTGACGTTGTGTTTCCTTGCCTGTAGGGGAAGATGATTATGCAGGATAAGCTGGAGAAAGAAAGAAACGATGCCAAGAACTATGTGGAGGAATATGTTTATGAAATGAGAGACAAACTGCACGGAGTGCTGGAGAACTTTGTCAGCGAGGCTGTGAGTGTCTACATGTATTTGCTTTCATTCATAAAGATAGCTATGCTTCTAAGCGATGGTTTTTATTAAGCAATGTCTTTCGATGCAGGACCGAGATTCTTTCTCCTTGAAACTGGAGGACACTGAAAACTGGTTGTATGAAGAAGGAGAGGACCAGCAGAAGCAAGTGTACATCGATAAACTGGCTGAGTTGAAGGTAGATGAGATGTGTTACTGATTTGTTGAAATTTGAAAGTGTTGCCCATTAAAAAGAATGACATTAAAAAGTTGCTCCTAGAAACTGGGAGAGCCGATTCAAAACCGACTCATGGAGGCAGAGGAGAGGCCAAAAGCTTTGAATGAGCTCGGAAGGCAAATCCAGCAGTACATGAAGGTCGTCGAGGCTTATAAGGCCAAGGTAGTCACTCATTAAGTCAAGGCACATTTATTTATATAGCATTTTATACATTACAGATTGGATGAATCTCACTTCTGTTATCTCTTAACTCAGGATGAGCTGTATGATCATTTGGATGAGCTGGAGGTGATGAAGGTGGAAAAGCAGGGGAATGAAACCATGACCTGGATGAACAACAAAATGAATCTGCAGAGCAAACAGAGTCTCAGTCAGGACCCTGTGGTTAAAGCCCAAGAGATTCAGGCCAAAACAAAGGTACAAACCTCACCAGTATTTTGATTATCCGTATGGCTCAAAATCTGCTAAGGGCTAGTTAAATATAATGTAAAAATGTCTTTTTTTTTTTTGTAAAATTAAGTAATTTGATCAAACTTTGAGGAGATACTGATCAAACTACATTTTATAAAAATCACTTGTCAAGTTCCAGGACCTGTGGGACCGCATATGAGAGTCAAATTGGACGACTTAATCTTAAGATCATTCATTTAATAGTTCATCTATTGCCAAAATAATGAAGAAAAAAAATATTGAAAATATTCAAATTAGGAACGTCAGAATCATAGAACACCACATGTAAATCGTTGTGTATTATGTATGTTACAATGTTACGGTCTCTGACAGACAGCATGTTGAAGCTGCTATTTTCTCCTCATTCTCAGAAAGCGATAATGTAATGTGGGTTCTCCAGGAAATGCATATATTCCCTGGACCTCTGCTACTCGTAAATACTACTGTGTATTGTGCAGTGCACATTATTTTTTTGACAGACATCGATGTCATGATATTCAAATCTGTGGATTTAAGAGCATAATGATTTATTTCTTAGCCAGCGGCAGGTGTTCAGTGAAGTGACTGATGCCTGTGAGTGTTATGTTGATGTTTTTAGTTCTAATATTCCAACTGACAGTCAGCCTACGTTTTTGACGGACGTGATAATGTGTGTAAGGGCTGAGAACATATGCTTGATTTTTGGATGTTTGAAATGATTTTTTGTGTAGTTCATTACACTTACTTTACAGAATGAAGCTAATTTCATTGCGTGTCACAATTTAAGAGACTGATACGTTTGGCTTTTCAAAAATTTTACGTTCTGTAACATTAACTGTTGCAAACTTGTTAACTTTTGTAAATTAAGTTCATTTTTTACCAGGAAATTAGCAGTTTTGATGCACAAGTTGTTTTTATTATCTCTGATAAACAAAAATCTTTTATTTAAACCTATGAAAATACAGATCCTGCTGTAAATAATAGTGAAAAACCACTTTTTAAAACTCGTTTCATTATTACCCCGTAGCAGATATGTGACCCTGGAGCACAAAAGCAGTCATAAGCAGCACAGGTATATTTGTAGCAATAGCCAACAATACATTGTATGGGTCAAAATTATCAATTTTTCTTTTATGCCAAAAATCATTAGGATATTGAGTAAAGATCATGTTTCATAAAGATATTTAGAAAATTTCCTACCATAAATATATCAACTTAATTTTTGATTAGTAATAATATGCATGGCTAAGAACTTCATTTGGACAACTTTAAAGATGATTTTCTCAATATTTAGATTTTTTTGCACCCTCAGATTCCAGATTTTCAAATAGTTGTATCTCAGCCAAATATTGTCCTATCCTAACAAACCACACATCAATGGAAAGCTTATTTATTCAGCTTTCAGATGATGTATAAATCTCAATTTCGAAAAATTGACCCTTAAGACTGGTTTTGTGCTACATGGTCACATATATGTCCTCTTGAGAACTGAATCTTCTAACTGTGTCTTCATCATTATACAGGAGCTGTATTCTGCTTGCAATCACGTCGTCACCAAACCCAAGCCCAAAGTGGAGCCTCCCAAGGAGGAGACTCCGGCCGAACAGAACGGCCCTGTGAACGGACAGGAGGGTTCAGAGGCCCAAGCGGGCAACCCAGAGAAGGGCCAAGCCGCCCCAGAAAACACAGAGGCCAAGCTTCCCGAAATGGACATCGACTAAGTTCGTTCGGCTCTCTTCTGCGTTCGCACCAGTCTCTCTCACGCCTCTTATATGCCTCTGAGTTTGGATTCAGAAAAAATAAAAAACTAAAGAAAACATTGATTTTGGGGAAGTAGGCTGCCCAGTTCAGTTCTCTTGCTGTCAGTGGCATCTTCCTTCCTTCCTTCCTTCCTTCCTTCCTTTCTTTCTTTCTTTCTTTCGGTTTTGCTGTTTAAAAACAGGATACATAGAGATCCAATCTCCCTTCTTCGTTTCTTCAAACAGGAAAAAAACATGTTATAGGTATTGGACGAGAACCTGGTCTGTCGCTTTTTTTATTTATTTATTTTTTTTTAATATCCACAGTTCCAGTTTCCCGAAACGAAGGCGGACGGGATTATCAAATGGGAAGGACTGCTTTAGTGTTGTTTAACGGATAACACGTTTCTGTTCTGATCTACTGTCTGGAGAGTTTATTAGCATTGAAGATTTGTTGCACAGGCTAACTTCACAAGTGAAGTTTCTAACTACCAGATCTTGGGGGAAAAGCACTGAATCTGCTGAACATTTTCTCGAGGCAGAGGCATGAGCCGCACGGTATGTCCAAGTAGAGCTGAGTTACTGTTATGCAGCATTTCGTTGTGAAAGGTGCGTCATTCTGTGTCGACGGCTTTTGGGTTTAGCCTTGTTTGTTTTCCTTTTCTACTCTGCAGCCTGTGTGAATGATGGAGACTAATGAGTCTGTCACAAATGAGGAGAATTATGAGAATAAATTCATTTTGGTATACAGTCAGAAGAATTTATTGGAATGTATTGGAACCATCAGGTATTTTGAACATCGCATCTGAAAAAAAAAACCTTGATGTCACCAAAAAATAAATGATACGATTAAATGCATGAAATGTCAACAGGTATATAAATGATAAACTTGAGACCAGTTTACTACCCAGTCCAAAAGTATGCATCATAAGCAGTCAAATATATACGGTCGATGACTGTGTGAACTTTAAGACAAGGTATGACATTTTCAGAAGTCTGACAGTAAAAGGTCTGTTCTGCACTATGAAATTGTGTTTCAGTGACCAGTGGCAGTATCTAGAGCTGATAGAAAGGTGACCACTGACCAGTGGCCAATACAATGTCTAATGTGTTGTATTACGTATAAACCCCGCCCTCTGCGAGAGCTGCATTCATTTGAGTGCCACACCCACATCTCAACATCCAATCAACAACCAGTGGATGGAACCGAGACCCCGCCCTACATTTTTTCTTTTCAGTAATCCATTAGTTTATTAGTTTGTATGATGTGTAATAAGTTGCTGAATAGACTTCCACAAACACAGAATGCAACACTTCTAAAGCTTGTAAAATGTGGCATTTTAAAAACTTTTTACAGTACTGATAAATACTGTCCTAAAGAAGGGATTTCAAAAAATAGTGGTGCAAGCTTGCATATTGCTTGATAAAGCTTATTGAAATATAAATATGACTTGGAATGAAAGAAAATGCTTGTGTTTTTGAAGGAAACTCGAGTAATGCTGGACTTGCAACTAAGATCAGTGCTGGGTAGATTACTTACAAATTGTACAAAATGTTACTGATCACAGATTACATGATGAAAATAGTAATTAGTAACGTAATAAGTTACTAATTTTAGGTCATGTATTCGGACTACTTTTTAGATTACTTTTTTATCTAACTTGTTTTAAACTCACCATTAAACGTAACATTGATATAAAAAAAAAAAAGCAAAGAGAAAATATATTTTGTTTTTTTATATCAACATCATAAAATGCATTAAACATTACATTACACCGGTGCGTTCCCAAACTGGGCTTAATGTAAGAACTGCAGTGGGTTTGTGAGTTAAAATTAAATCATGTATCAGATACAAATAATTTAAATACTTAAACACTAAAAATAGAAATATTTTATTTGTTTACCTGCATGTCAATGTGACCATTAACTGACATCAGAGAACTATAAACATGTAAATTGTTAAATTATTGGAATATTTTACTTCCTCAGAGATATTTTAAGTAAGTAATTTAAGGAGTTTGGCTGACAAAAACGTTTGGGAATCCCTGCATTAAATGAACAAACATAAATAAACATGGAAACAGCAATGACATTACACGACTAAATGGTATGACACACAGTAGGATTTTTAGAAAAGACCATTTAAAAGAAAAAAGAAGAATTAGGGAGAATAAACAAATTATAATAATTTACTGCCATTGAATAATATGTAATCATGTAATCCATTAAAAAGTAACTGTAATCTGATTATGACTGTAATGCACTCTAATTACGAGTACTTAATTTTTTGAAGTCTGATTATGTAATTATGTAATCAGTTACTACCCATTACTGCACAAGCCATATTCAGTACAGACTACTATGAACTCTGTTATGGTTAGAGATGTGTAATAGAGCTTTTTCAGTGGAAAGAAGTGCTCACCATGAATGAGAGTAAATCAGTAATAATACAGTCAAATCAGTTCTTATCACACAGTCTAGGCCAACACAGGCTCTCTCAACATTAATAATCACCACCTTTATAATCTGAAGGGCAATGAGACCAAAAACTAATTTTAATGTAATAAAAAAAAATAAAAGCTTGCAAATAAAAAGTATTTTTCCTTTCTGCAGGTCCCTCACTTTTCATTAGCACCCATACATTCTGCTCTCTGTTCTGCAGTCATTTTTTTGCAGGTCTAAAATCTTTGCTTGCGATTCAAATTCAAAGAGTTTTGTTATCAATTATTATCGTCTTAACAAGACTTTTTATTTGCAAACTTTAATTTTTTTAATTACGATATTATTTGTTTTGCCCTCAAGCTCGGTGGGTGTGATATAAAAGGCACAAAAGTAACTCCATACTGGGCCTACAGTTTGCAAGATCAGTTTTTAGGCAGAATAATAATAATAATAGGTAGCCTAATAAAAATCAAAAGAAGCACATTTAAGTTGAAAAAAAAAATGTAGCAGTCACTGTAAAAAATTGTTATTCCTGTAAATTAATAACAGATAATCAAGAATATTTGTTCTCCTTACCCCACCTTTATTGTCAATTGAAGATAGCTAAACGCTTAATGTGTAGGCCTACTAATAGATTATACTCACGTTGCCTGGTTACGTTCCTCAAGCGCTCGGCTATTGATTTGTGGATCACGCCCACTTTAATGACGGCAACACGTAAAGTATCAGTTGGGTTTTGTGCGATTGTAGAGCATTGATTCGGTTTCTCAAGTATGATTGTTAGGAAAGAGTCAAGTGGAAAAAACACCGGGCGCAACGTCCTTTTGAGTTTGTAGCAAAAAAGTAGATCGGTCTCGCGCACGTCCACCATGTTTGTAGTCTTTTTTCATGTTTGTAGTCTCTTCAGTGTTGGGAGTAACGCGAGTTACGTCATCAGATTACTTTTTATTATTATTTTTTTTATATATATATATATATAGAAACTAGTAAAGTAAGACATTACTTTTTAATTTACAAAAAAATATTAGTTACTTTTTTTCAAATAAGTAACGGAAGTTACTTTATTTTCCCATTTGTGTTTATTTTTTATTGCTGAAGAGTATTGAACATTCTTCTCTTGCTATATTCTTTTCAAATAAGTAACTCCAGTTACGTTGCTTTCCCATGCATTGGCAGCTCTCCTGTCCTCATGTTGAGAGAAATTGTGAGTAAGTGCAGAGGCGTTGTGTTCGCTGTGTGAACATGTTACTGTAGTTCCAGACTAAATGTGAACATGTATTCACTAATCTCACCTGCACAAAAACAGATTCAGTATTCCTCAAAATTAATAAAAACTGAGAAATGCAAACTTTAAAAAATGATGCAAACCTGCAAAAATTAAATGTTAAATAACACAAAAATAATTTATGTTTTTAATGCCTTTTTATTAACCAATGTCTTTGCTGCTGACCTTCGATGATCCAATTCAACCATACTAGTAAGCAAAAATGACTTTAGATAAACATAACATTTGTGGAGGCTTTTATTGCTGGGGAGTCTAGTCCTGCGTCCTATTCTTCATGTAATCCAGAATGGCAGCACAACTGAAAGGTTTGTTTGAGCTTCTGTACAGACGTGTATTCACAGTTCCTTCAGCCTGACGCTTATTCATATCACTTTTGGTGTGAAAGCGCCTTTACATTTGCCAAAAATTGAACTTTTTATATTAAAAACAGACAAGTGAGCACAGCCCAGATGAGAAAAAGTAACACAAAGGTAATGTAATGCATTATACTTTCCATAAAAAGTAACTAAGGAATGAAGTTGGTTGCTTTTTAGGGAGTAATGCAATATTGTAATGCACTGATTCTCAAAGTGTGGTACACAGAGGAATCACTGAATTAAATATAAATTAAAAAGTTTTAATATAAATATAATATAATTTTAAAATAATATGCATTTTAAAAAGTTTGCAAGGTGGCTAAATAATGCCCGTGTTAATTTTTTTTTATCAAGTACTGTACATTTTTTACCTTACCTTTAAGTACAGTACATTTTAATTTAATCATTTCAGTTTTTTATTTTCCTGTATGTAAGCACAGTGCCGTGTTAATGTTCAAACTGTATTTACGCCGTGTTAATTTTTTTTTATCAAGTACTGTACATTTTTTACCTTACCTTTAAGTACAGTACATTTTAATTTAATCATTTCAGTTTTTGTATGTAAGGTATGTAAGCACAGTGCCGTGTTAATGTTCAAACTGTATTTACGATGTTTAAAGTGGCCGAATATTCTTATTAGGAATAAAACTGCCTCGTTTTTGAACTGTGCAGCGCTGTAGCTGAATAATTAGGCCTACTGCACTACTGTATTTTAATGTTGGTCGTTATGGTGGTACTTGGAGAGCCACATATTTTCTGTGGTACTTGGTGTAAAAAGTTTGAGGAGCACTGTTGTAATGCATTACTTTTAACAGTAACAGTACTGTTTTGTGCGTACTGTAAGTTTGGACATACTACTTTTGTCACATACTGTTTTTCGCCTACTATATAGTAGAGAAATATGTGATTTCAGCTGCAGCCTCAGAAAATCTCGCATGCTCCTGTGGAATGTTATCATGCAGCACAGCATGAACTACCTTTTTTTTTTTTTGAAGCCATATTCTGCACATTTTGAAGTTTGCAAATTTAAGTTTCAGAGTTACAAAGGCCGGTGGAAGATGTCTGAATGGCCAGTCGTTGATTTCCGGATGCAGGAGAGGTCATGCTGAGGTACGAGCGCTCTGATATCTCTAACAAGGAGTTTGTGTGTATGAGTCTGAAATCTGCAAGCTGTACGAGTCAGACTGGGTCTGCAGACAGCCATGCGATGTGTAAGAGAGTAATGACTCTCCTCTGCTCTCAGCAGGGCATGTCGACTCCCAGTGCCTCCAACGACTTCAGCCAGGACTCCACAAGTGGGTTTGATGCTCTCTTTTCAATGCTTTGAGTGGTTATATCTCCTCACAGACCTATGCAGACCTGTTCTGTGTTATTAACCAGGTATAACGATGCCCTCTGGTGTTTCCAGCTTCTTGTTGGAATGTCTGGATGTTGATTCTCCAGCTTCAAACACGGACTTCATCCATCGAGGAGTTTCGCAGAGCTGACAACTGTGGTATCATTTGTTGCCGTTTACTTGTTGTATCAAACTCACATGCTGTAATTTCTTGCATGGAACACTTGACTGATGTGACCTTGTAACCTGTCACTGAACAGAAAAGAGCTACATAGATATTCTTCCTGAATATTGAGTATATAATAATGTATGTGTGTGTATACAGTGCCCTCCACTAATATTGGCACCCTTGCTAAATATGAGCAAAGGCGGCTGTGAAAATAAATCAGCATTGTTTATCCTTTTGATCTTTCATTCAAAAAATTCACAACATTCTAACCTATCATTGAAGTAAAACAATTCAAAGCGGGGAGACCAAATTGTGGCACTTCAGTACAAATCATTATATACAGTATTTGACTTTCTAGTGCTTTCGGTGAACATGATCTGCTGTTTGTGTGCCTCTCATGACCGCTCAGATGAGGGGACAGCATTACTGGGTGAAGAAGGGATGATGAACACGGTGAAAAACTCAACTCTTCTGGATCACAGCCATGCGCAGGATCTGGCACTGCAGCAGCCTCCAAACCTCTCCTCCATTCTTGGCGAGTCATGGCTGTTTATCATTCATAACTGCTATTAATGCAGTGAGGGCTGATGCATTTCACATAAATGTTTTAGCGCTGTGTTACGCTTTTATTTTACGCAGAGCTATCAATAAACCCTGCTGAAGAGAAATCGTTTCCTTTGTCACACATTTGGTAAGGCCTTTATGCATACATACACACAGAAGGGTTTGAAACTTCTGGGAAAAAGAAAAGACTAGATGATAATTCAGATTTTACGCATACTGTAAAAAACAAAAGTTTGGAAACATTATTTTTAAATGTTTTAAGGCTGCATTTATTTGATCAAAAATACAGTAAAAACCATAATATTATGAAATATTATTGGCATTTGAAATAACAATTTTCTATTTGAAAATATTGTAAAATGTAATTTATTCCTGTGATGCAAATCATCATTGCTCCAGTATTAAGTGTCACATGATCCTTCAGAAATCATTCTAATATACTTAATTATTATTGGTGCTCAGTTATTAATAATGTTTTTTATTTTCATCAATGTTTTTGTGGCTTCATTTTTTGATATTAATATTATTTGATAAATAGAAGTTAAAAAACAGCATTTATTTGAAATAGGATCTTTTGTAATATAAATGCATAAAGTAATTCATTTCTATTAACAGGATCATGTGACACTCTGAAGACTGGAATAATGATGCTTGAAAAAAATTTACTTTGCATCACAGGAATCAATTCGATTTTAAAATATATTACAATAAATATTACAGCAAAAAATCGTAAGACTGTCTTTTAATATTAGTGTTTTTGAGCACTTAAATGCAGCCTTGTCATAACATTTAAAAATCGTAACGTTTCCAAACTGTTGACAAGCACTGTATACATGAATATGTGCTGATATACTTCTCAGTTTAACGTCGTCACGAAAATGTTACTAAAATGATATTTCTCAACATCTCTCCTTTACGTGTGCCCTCTGAAACCTTGGCATCAGATATTGCATCAGGTACTCGAGTTTCACTCCATGCAAGTTATAAATACAGTAGATGGTGTTGCTCTTTCTTTCTTACTTACTTGTATTAAATAAAGCTCTGTTTCTGCTGTTTGCAGGATGCGTGTTAAAATCAGCTAATGAGAGAATGCCTGTGAATACTAGGGTTGTAGTTCTTTCCCCTGTTGTGAAAAAGGTGATTAATACTGTATTACATCTTTCATATTAGGCCTATGTATGGTCATATTCATGTCTGTGTGACTAAGTGCTTCCCTCTTGCGTTCTACTAGAAATGAGTAATGCTCCTGATGATATCACAGGGTGAATAGAGTCTGGATAGCATCATAACATCAACAGGATAATGAGGAAAAACTTCCCTTTTTAGTGTTTTGCAGAAAAGGAACAACCAATAAAATGCAGAAAAGTGACGTTCAGTGATATTGAAACGTATCAAGCCATAAACGTGGTAAGACAGACCAGCAGGACTCTGGAGTAAAGCTGGTTCAAGCAAGCAGAAGAGTGCCAGCGAGATCCCGAGACGTTTCCTCAAGGCCTGGGAAGTTTTTTGACTTTGCGGATGAGTGTGAGAGGGAAGCCTTTTTCCACAGACTCAGACAAACACTCTTGTTTAAGTTTCCTGTCAAACCGGTCATTTTCTTTTCTCATTCCACATATTGACATTTTTGAAATTTCAATGAAATTCATGTTTGTGTGCATTTCTGTTCTTTATAGAGCATCTCAATCTGAGAGGACTTCAGTCGAAACATCCTTTTTCTTACAAGTTAAGAAACCCTGGATCATATCTGACCAGCAGAGGACAGTCAACACTTCTTCTACATGCTTGGTTTACATTTCTACAAATATTTGAATTGAATTGAATGGCCATGCACTGGAGTGAGACTTCTTAAACAAACACAAGCGCTGAATAATATACAACTCTTGGAATATGCCAATGTAAAATGAAGTTAAAACTGATCAGGTCATGTAATATGTACTTAATGGATGATTTTAATGCGGAGTCATCAAAACGAGAAAGCAACAGTGCCTTGAGGTGCTCGTGGAATAGGTTTTTGCATGCTTTAAATGAAAAGAGAACCTTACAAATGAAATCATATTAGAAAAAAGATAATGAAAAAATTAATAAATATTAAAAAGACGAATACAGAACATTCTTATTGTGCAATTGCTCTTTCTTTTAACGTATCACCGAGCATAAAAAGAACAAAATGCACGTGATTAAATGCGACGGTCTTAAATTTAACCCCAAAACATCAACACAGCCGTTCTGGCCACGTGGGCTATGAATCAAAATATCAGCCAATCAGGAAAGCGGAGGGGAGCGCAGCGAATAATCGACCAATCAGAGAGCAGTTGCGTTGCCAAGCAGCTCGTGTGACTAACGGCAGTCACATGACTGGCCCACAAATGGAGTCCGTCGGCAGGAGTCGAGTGTGGCTCGAGAATTAAACACAAAAAGAGGATTTTTCCTTCAAAACTGTGGGTCCATTATGGCCCCCACATTATTTAATAAACTATTCAACAAAAGAAGCGCGTTTTCACCGCCCGCGAAATGCAGCAAGGAGGACGCGGTTTTCAGGTAACTTAACGTTGTTACGTGTCGAGCTTCCGGAGAGCAGTAACGTTAAAATAACCGATTCTCTTGAATAGATTTTGGTGAAGTTCTGTGGATATGTGTATATATAATATATTTAGCCTAGAGTGTTTGTTTATGGTTACGTAAGGTTATCTCCATGTGTAGCCTGAATGTTTAACTAACGTTAGTTAGCTCAGTCTGGCGACCCTTTGTTGGTTTATGTCACCGGATCTGACGAGCCTTTCTCTAAACGTATGATTTATTCCACACAGTGCACTTATTTGACTTCCTGTCAGTCCTCGGCTTTTCTGTGCGCCTGCCGAGTGATCGTTAAATGCAGAACTAGCGATGCTGTGTAACTTCACCAAGTTCATAGTCCGCTGCACTATTGGCGGCCTTTTCGCTAAATGTACTCATCATTTTGTGTTGGTGATGATAAAAGCAGCTCGTGTTTGCGTGATAAGCCGCGAGACTGGCACGTGACCTCGTGCTGTCCGTGCATTCACGCATTCAGATCATTTGCCTGAGATCTGTCTGTGTCAGTGCAGCATGCAGATGCGCAGAGTATCCATCACGACAGCCTTCTTCCCATCAGAATGATGCAGGAATCAGAGTAAAGCACTGATATTTGCATTTGGCGTTGTATTCATTTCTGTTGCACACTGATATGATCATATTTTTTGGATTTTTAGCTTATTTGGAGTGTTATGCTGCGTTCACACCAAACGCGAATAGATTGCCTTCACACACCTGTGGGTGCAGCAGCAGGGGGTGAAGGACCAGGGACTGGGGAGACAGGAGAAGCGGCAGGGGATCTAGGATCAGTCTCTTCATTATCTGTAGGCTCTGTCAAGACAATACTATATGTTAATACAACACGTTGGTAACAATAGTCATAGAGAGATTACATTATACTCTTCATCTGTAAACAATGACAGCATATATGCCTTGTAAATTGGCTTAATTGGAAAACTCACCTGTTTCCGTATCCCCTGCTTCCGCCTCTCCCTCTCCCTGGTCCCTGGGGTGGTTGTACTCTATGACCTGGGCCTCGACCCCCCCCATGTTACTGGTGGTCTCCCGTGGGGTGACGAAGGGCTCGAGGAATCCCAGGATCTGTGAGTACTTCCACTTCTTCACTGACCCTGCTGCTGACCCACTCCTCTTCTCCATCTCCTTCCTCTTCTCCTTCAGGTAGGTGTCCCTGAGGCTTTTCCACTTTTTTCTGCACACGTCCTCTGAATAAACACATTATCTTGTTAGCGAAAAGTAGCTGTAGGGGGGAAATAGTTGTAAAAAACGGCGGGAAGGCCGCGGGTCGATAAACGTGTACGTGACTCAAAAGTGAAATGTGTATTTACAACTTACCAGGTTGCCCAATCTCCTCACCGACACTCTTCCAAGCGAGGTCCTTTTTATTCCTGTCTCTATAGAAATATGAACTTGTGTCATAAATCTCTGGGTGACTGCTCACTGATAATATCAGTCGTTCCTCCATTTAGAATGAGTGACTCCGGGCGGGCCTGCCGCCACAGCAGCAAGCAGGCTCCTGATTGGTTAACGCGGCGCGAATTGACGCCAAAGTTAAAATTTTTCAACTCGGGCGTCAGACGCGAATTCGCGTCAAACGCGTAAATGCACAAAAAGCACCATTCGCGCGTAACGCGCGAAACGCTCAATTCGCGTAATTCGCGCGTCAATTCGCGTCATTCGCGCGAACTAGACGCGCGAATGAGGCGAATTCGCGTCTTCCGCGCCGCGCTAAACGCCTCATTCGCGCCGCGAGACCTCCAGACGCGCGTAAACGCGTCTTTACATTGACTTAACATTGAAATCATTCGCGCCAGACGCTCTATTCGCGTTTGGTGTGAACGCAGCATTAGATTTTAAGCATTTGGAAATCAGATTGGGATTTAAAGGACCCTGAAGTAATGGGGGATTCCAAGGCTACTGGCTATTTCTGATACTTCTGCTTATAAAAACAAAACTGCTTATTTTCAGACTTTTTACTCGTGGAAATTAGAAATGGCAACATGGAAACTATTCAGTAAAATAATTAAATTCCATCATTACAATAACTGAATGTTTTGCATGGTTTAGACTTTAATTACCAATGAATATACATGATTTTTGTTGTTGTTTCTTTAAATGTTGTGAAGAGCTAGACACACAATATCAGTGGCCCGTCGTGCGTAAAGAGCCCGTAGTACCTAAGATAGCAGCTACATGGGTGACCCCGCTCAAAAGAACCAAAGGGCTGCTCACATTTCTGGTTCTTTGGCAGGACAGATCGTTCTTGATTGAGCCCGAAAGCTTTTGTGTGCTTTGCCAGTGATTACCTTCAGCCAGACCCAGGGTCATTTCTACGCATGTCAGACACGCTTTTGGAAACAAATATAGGCCTAATGTTTCATGCAACTGTAACAACTGCAGCAATTAATCAGCAAATTATTATTTTTTTAATCAGTTAATTGATTTATCTAATGTTAAAATTAAAACAACAAATGTTGATATTTAAAAAAACATTTTTAATAAAATGTAAAATAGTAATGCATTTTTAGGGCCCTATGAAATACATTTTATTTTTCTTAAATTCTGTTTAATTAAATTAAATTTTTAACCAAATTCTGTGTTTTCAATTTGAATTTTTCTGGATTCCATTTTAATAATCAAAACCTATTATTTAATTATTTATTCTTTCAACAGAAATTCTGAGTAATGCACTCTACTTTTTCTGGTAATCAAATGATGCCATAAAACAATTACATTTTTTAAATCAAATGAATATTAAACAAACTAATTTGTCTAAACAGAGGTTTACTGTTACAATTAAAGCATGGAAGAAAATCGGTGTGACTATTCCTTAAAAATAAAGTTTTAACAGAAGTAGTAGTAATATTCTGTCACAATTTCTTCAAGTTAAACCTAACTTTTATTCTGACGAGTTGCCTTGAGAGTTTTGTTTGTGTGTGTATGTAGCTTTTCTCTAAACGGTCAAATGGTCTTGAAATGACTCTCAGAGCAGTTCTGGACATGTTGTTCATGTATTTATGTCCTCATTTAGTGAGACTGCATTGCAGAAATCATAGGGTCCTTTTGAGATCCAGACGAGCATCACACAAGCTTAAGGATGTGTAGTAGAGCAAACTGAGACACGCATAACATACAGACTTCACATTTACAGCAGTCTTTCTGTGCTTCAATATTCACAGACAATAGACCATATTGTGAACAAAATTGCACAATTCCGCTGAAGTCATGAGGCTCTAGGTTTGTGTATTTGATGTGCACTCAGCCTTTTGTGACTAAAGGATTGCTGCTGTCCTCAAGCGTCTGTTTCTGTGTGCTCATGACAGGTAGCGAGAGTTTGAGATGAGACGATAACTCGGTGAGTGATTCATGATGATGTGCTTCATTGATGTCATTCTTTTACTGTATGTCATGTGACTGTTGTGTTGTATGTTGTGCCGGTCAGGACTCGTAGGACAGTGAGAGTACTAGAGCCGGTTCTTGCACTGTCAGACATGACTACATGAGAGGCTTTTTAAACAACCCACAAGGGAGCTGTGTTAGAATGATTGTGTTCCCAGTGAAATCTCAATGCTCTCACTCCAAAGTATTTTGTCTTAAACATCTTTTTTTGGCTGTTGTTGTGTTGTGGTTTAGTGCAGACTGACGAACATATGAATTCATCTGCAAAATTATCCTGTGGCTGAAAGTATATTTTAGTGAAAAATTATCGTTAGTTGCATCTAGGGCTGCAACAAACGATTATTTTGACAACAAACGATTGTTACGATTCATTGACTAATCGTCGATGATTTCACAGATAGGATAATCAGAATGATTTGTTCTATTATTCAGCTTTTACAATTAGTGAAAATACTGAGTTAGACATATTCTAACTAATGAATAAAACAAGGTAAGCACTTCAGCTTTTGACAATTTCAAACATTTATATTGCTATTCTACAATTACAATTGTTATACAAATTTTTTTTTTTTTTACAACAAATAAATAGGCCTATATATTTGGCACACAAAATGACAGACAGAGAGACATTCTCATTCACCATTTAATTAACTGCATGAAAAAGCAACTCATCATTCCGCCTAACATCGCCTTTTAAGTCATATGGATATGGAACAAAATAATAGTAAATAAGACATTTTATTTTTTGGATAAATTATTTTGTTCAAAACAATAGCTCTCTTAAAACACCTTTAGTGTTATAATAATCAAAACTGTCCTGAGCTAGATTAAGCTTTAATCTATGCAAGCCAAACTAACACTTTAATGTAATGTTTGTTTATTTATTTTTGCATTCACTTATAAAAAGATTTTATCATAAGTTTGCTCCACAATGGATAGCTGATTTATAACAGAAAATCAAGTTGTAATTCTAACTGAAAGCGTCACTGACAGTGTTTTTTCACGTTTAATACTGTAAAGCCGCTAGCTTTAAATCAATCTCTTGTATAACTAGGCCTATATAAATAAACGTGACGCGACTAGAGTCCCAATTTGCAGAGCTCATGCAAATAAGTCCACATCGCTATGTTCAGATGCTTTCTTAACTGCTGTTTTCTTACCGCTGTCATTTTTGTTGTGTTTATTTTGTTATTGAGAGGAAAGCGTGCAGCACATACACGGCTGTGTTTACACTCTGACTCTTAAGCGCTGTGTGTATTCTTCTCTTGAATTGCATCTGAAAGTGCTGAATTACAGTCTTCCACTACAGCGCCACACTGGCCAAACTGTGTTATTGCAGGCCCTTAAATTAGGTCAAAGTAGATCAAACGACTATTCGACAACAAAAATATTTGTAGACAATTTTTTTTGTCGACAATTTTAATGTTGACCAATCGTTTCAGCCCTAGTTGCATCTTGTGAGAAAGGATGCACTGATGCACCACCAGCCAGTTAAAATCGTTAGAAATATGTGACGATTGAAGTCGGTTGAGATGTTAAAACAAATTGTGATACAACTGACTGTGGGGATTTATCTGAGAGGAACTGACTGTCTTCAGAAAAGTTTAGATGGTATTTTCTTTTAATCTTGTCTCTGTATAATGCATATTAAAGTAGTGTTTATAGTTATGTTTACAGCGTTAACGAAGAAGTCGCTGCTGTTCCATAAGCGCCACCTGCTGTCAGAGAGTAAATTTGCTTTTCATTCAGTCCGTCTGCTGTTTTTGTTTCATTCAGATGTTTTACGTAGTATAGTTTCACAAAGCTAAGGTCAGGCCTTAGGTTAGACTTCGAAATGATGCAATCAAATTTAAATCAGAAACTGCTAATGCAGAATGTACGCAGCATCTTTGTTTGGAATCGTGAGTCAAATGCAGTGGTTGCCTTTAATTTTAAACGGTAAGAGCACAGGCAAAGCATTAGCTTGTTCATAAGAAGAGATTTCATCTGTGTTATTTATTTCTTTAATTTGTGATTTGTTTTGCAATTTTAAATTAGTTTTGTTATTTGACATTTCAATTTCACAAAGAAATGTGCATCATTTTGTCTGAGAAATAATAAAAGGACACCTTTTAATTAATAATTTGTCTCAAATCTCATTTTGTTAAAAGTCGTGAGAAAATCGTATCGTGAAATAGTATCGTGAATCATATCGCATTGTGTGTTGAGTGAATCGTTATGTCCCTACTTATGAGCTAAATGTGGTGTCCGTCTTAATTTTGCACTTGACTAATATTTCTCTTTCGATGGTTTCGATCACTGCAGAAAATGAAGTGTGTGTGTTGTTTAGTGCTTTAGTGACGGATGCTGTGAGTTGATGTGCCGTAGACCAGCAGCTGCACTCCTTCACAGACCAGATACTGAGCTTGAGCTATTATTGTCCTCGCTGGACTCCCGTAGGCTCTGCTTGAGCGAGCTGACAGGAATGCAGCCTGGAAACATTCCCACCGCATGCATTCAAAAACGACCCCAGCTAGTGGACAGGAAGTGCGTCACCGCCTTGATGCTTTCTTTATGTAACGGCCGCTCGCTCCCATCATGATCAGACGCTGACCTCCGCTCACAGGAGTCCGGAGGGGACGCGCTAGCCTCTCTATGCCCACATCACACTGTCTTCAGTTTCCAGCGGCGCGTCCGCATGTCTTTGTCCGGCGCTGTCCAGCTTGGCCTGGAGGTCACCTGACAGTCTCATGTTGTTTTGTGAATTTAGTTCATTGCTATTCTTAGCAGCGCTCTGTGCTGAGGACGAGCGAGCCGCGGGCTGGGGAGGATGGGAAAGCGCACGGGTACAAATGCTCTGATGCCCAGGTACCTGACGACCGCTTGCTTTCTGCTTGTCTGTGGCTTAGCAGTCATTGCGTGTGGCTGCTGTAGAAACAGCGTGACGGCGTTTGTGTTGCCTTGTGAGTGAGAGGTTTTGCTGTAGGTATTCATCCTCCTCGCTGTGAGCTGTAATGATGATCTGGTCTTATGTAACGTCCTGCAGATTACGGTCAGCAGCTTAAGGACTCGTTCTCATTCTATAGCAGAGCATACAGGATCACATTGAAGATAATAAGTCTTGTCACCTATGTCACCTGTCTCCCCCTGAAAATATCAGTTACCTATTATAATTCTCATTACTGTCGGGAAAAAAATAGCATTTTTAGTAATTACTCATTTTAAATTCAGCTTTGTTTTTTTTAATGCCTGATTCTGATTGAGAGGGTGGCTGATGGCACACACACACACACACACATAATATATAAGTCATTCATGCATGTGCAGTAATAGCTGAATTCTCCTGTTTGCATCCTTTTTGCGTTTTTTTTTTAACAAAATTACCAAAATGTTTGACATTTCTGTAAATAATTATTGCATATTCAAAGACGTATTCAGATGATATAAATGTTTGCTTAACGTCGACAGTATATGAGAAAGTATTATCACACACAAAAATCTATAATACTTGTCATGTCATTTACTTTGTTTAACATTTCTAATAATTTTGGACAGAAATGTTAATTAAAGACCATAAATGAGTAAAGACAGAATAATCTTGTTCATCTTGACAAAATAAAAGTCCATGCATTGACAAAATAAAAGACTTAATGGCCAGACAGAAAAACATGTTGACCGATAAAATGTTAAACAAAGACCATAAACGAATAAAGACAGAATACTCCTGTTCATCTGGACAAAATAAAAGTCCTGCCTCCAACACTTAATGACCAAACAGAAAAAAAACCGTATTGACCGATAAAATGTTTAACATGTTAAGGCTAATTTTGGACAGAAATTTTAAACACAGACAATAAACAAATAAAGACAGAGAATACTCCTGTTTATATGGGCAAAAATAAAAGTCCTGCCTCCAACACTTATCGACCGATAAAATGCTAAATATCAGCTGCTAATCAACCATTAATTTACTACTAATCAGTGTTGAATGATGGTTTTTGTGTGCATCAGAACTTTTCTGCGAGAGAACAGTACTTTGTGGTAAATCCTACTCTGGTATTATTATATCTTATTGAGAGTACTGTGTGTATAATTACTGCAAACTAACTAGTATGAGAAAATGTATTAGCTACTGGTATTATTTAAATTACTGACACAGGGTCGGGTACAGTTTTCACTCTATTCATATTGTTTTAATAATTTATTTATTTGAGGAAAAATGTAGAACTGTAGGATTAAAGAACAATATCATGAGGTCTTATAACAGATTTAACAATTATTTTAGTAATGTAAAATAAAAAGTTTTGCAACAATGCTGTAGGTGTATTATTTACATGGACATTTATTGATAGGTGAAGAAGCACCAAAATGTCAATATTGTGGGACTCACTTGATGGTGAAACATGTGCTTTTGGTCTGCCCAATATTTGAAGTCATGAGACAAAGGTTATTATCAGGGCAAACTCTTAAGGACTTGTTTTATAAGATGGACCCAGAAAAATATTGTTTTTGTAATGTATAGGCCTAATCTTTGTTTGCCATGAAATAGCCTGTGAAGCTAATGTGGCAATAAACTAAAATCAAGTCAAGTATTATTTACATGTGTGATATCTGTTATCGGCATTGGCTCGTTTTATCATAGTTTAAGACTAGGAATGGGATGAAAGAAAAGTGAGTTTTCTTCAGATCAGCTGTGAGGTTTATGGTTGTGATTAAGTTTTCATGTTTTGTAGGGGATGGTTGTGCGTCATGTTGTCTTTGTGCACAGCTTGTTTGTCTCGATTCCTGATAAAGCGGATGATGTGCTCCGTGTCTGGATGGCGAATGAGTTCAGTTGTCGGGAATGTGACGAGTAAACAGCCGCACGCTCTGGGCCTTTCTTCACCTGCCTTGACGCAGAGCACACAAATAACTTGTGCCCATGCCATTC